ATTCAATATTTTATACTGAAAAAGGTGCTATTTTAGTGAACAGAGTTAACAGGAGGTTGAGAGCTCTCCTGTGCCTTTGCAGGTAGAAAGATGAATGGTTCCTCTGGAGCTGTGAGAGGGTTTCTGAAGAGAAACCAGTGGTGAGATTCTCTGTGGTTTTCAAACCCTGGCTGCTACCTCATCTTCACAGAAATACAGGACTGGGGTCTTGCAGTGAGGGTTTAGAGCCCACACACAGTAATCTCTTTTCCAGAGCACCTACTGTCCCCTGTAATTTGTGTTTGGGAAACTAAAGCTTGCCAATATGCCGTGATTTAAAGATTTCTTCCTCCTAAAAGGAAAGCATTTGTACTCCGTTCTGCAAATGAAAGCAAGCCTTGATGTCCACACAGGGATTTGAAATGCTCATCAGGTATTCCAAAAAGGGAAAATCTGAAAGAGTTGAGGAGGGGAGGGGAGACAGCACAATAACACCAAGAGAGAGAAAGAATAACTGACAATTTTTCTTGCACAGATCCAAATCTGTTATTTTATGCACACTTTATGTATACTTGAAATATGTTTAGACTCTCATTGTACTCAAGAAATATGAACATGCCCTTTATAGTGTAATTCACAGTAAGCCTTAAAGCAACTAAACTACCATTTTTGTCCAACTGGATAGGTCCAGTGAAATACACAGATCCTAACAGGCTGAGAAAAAAATGAAGATAATTTATTCATCACAGTGTTTGAGTCCTCCTTTTTCAACAATACCAGTTTTAAAGGCATAAATTACCAGTATTTAAAATTAATTTTTCCAGACTACTGCTTATCAGAAGCAGCAATCAAATACATAATCTAATGGCCAAGCAAGGAAAATAGCAGAGCTTAATTAATTCACCAAGACATCTGTCACACCTTTTATAGCTACACCTGGTAGGTGTATCGTATACCCACTAATGTGGTAGGGAATCATTCTTTCAAAAATTCTTTTTTTTTCCTGAAATTCTTTTCTGAAAGAATTTCAGAAATTCTTTCTTTTCAGACAGAAATATATTCTTTCTTTTCTTTTCAGAAAGAATTTTTTTATTTTCTTATCTCAAGGCTACAGAAGTGAGGCACTGCATTTCCAGTGTACCTGAAGCACTTGAAGGCACACCCGAGGTGAGATGGGGAAACTCACGTGGCACTCAGAATTCCAAGATTACTTACAAGATAACACTTAATGTTGCTATTACACAGGGTGCATTAGAAGCCAGCTATTTCTAAAATGGGCTTCCAAGAAATCTGTTCAAGTGTCCACTCTCAGGTCTTGAAGTACATAGACATTAAGTGATATAAGTGATATGAGAGTCATTACCTTCACACTGACCTAAGGATTAATCATTTCATCTTCCTCTCTCCTCAGCTGGTGGAATTGCCTGGGAAACAACCTGAACTCTCAGTGACCTTTGCTAACCAAACAACACATCCTCAGTGGTTTGAAGCAAAGTAACTATTCAGACCTTGAACCAAGACAGTTTAAACAGCACAAAGAGCTCTACCCATTACATTTCTCTCATTTAGCATTTTGGTTAGCAAAAGCTTCTCCAGCTTTTCTTTTTTTTTTTTTTTTAACTTTTAGTAAACTTATAATGAACTCACAGGCCTGACCAGGGAAAAGCAGCCACAGGAAATGGGGGAGACAAATAGCAGCATCTCTTCCATCCTAATTAGCAACAGTGCTGCATCTAAGGTTGAATTTGTTAAGCTCTTACCCTCCCTGTTTACAAACTTAAGCAAAAGGCAAGGAAAAAAAACCCCAGAGGCTGTCACATTACTGTAAAAAAAAAGAGACTGCTAGCACTCAAGTAATTGTTTATCAAAGGCTATTTAGTCTATTTAATTGCCAGCCCCGAAAAAAAAGAAAAAAAAAAAAGAAAGAGCTTGCCGGATTTCCATTATTTATTATATGTGGAGTGACTCGCTGAAGCACTTGGAAAGATTTACTTCCCAGTGGTCACCTACTTAGATCAAGCACTAAATCACTGCCTCTGTGGCTGGTGTTTGTTTAGGTGGCAGCAGTTGAGCTGGACCAGCCTCCCCGGCCCCTCGCCGGGGTCTCGGTGTGTGTGGCCCATCCAGGGCTGCAGCTGGATCCGCACACAATTCCCACTGTGCTCCACAGACTTTGTTATTCCAGGGTCCTTCCCGACACCCCAGGCACCCCAGACACGGCTCCCAGAGGCAGACACCTGTCCTGAGAGAGGTAAATCGCAAATGCGCCGGGATTTTCACCGAACGCGTCGGAATTCTCACAAAAACACATCGGGATTTTCACCAAACGCGTCAGGATTTTTAAAGGCACAACTTCTTAGGCTCAGCTGCACATCCTGCCAGAACCAGTGTTTCTAAAGCTCAGACGTCGTTATCTCTCCTGAACAACATTTCGAGATAAATAAGTACTAAAACCTTTATGGACATGCCTTAAGATAAATTATTTTCCTTATTCTGTTACTTCTAAGCATTACAGGCACTACAAAACAAACACGTCATACTGTGTGCCCTCTAAATCAGGCAGGAATTCTTCATGACTTGGGGAGGTTTTCCATCCATTCAAAACCAAAACCATCAGCACTCATCCATTATAAAAACCTTGGATACACATCATTATTGTAAAGTAACGATTATAAAGACTTTTAAAATGATATGAAGATACAGGTTTGGTTTCATTCCACCCAAGCAGGGCAGGAGGAGGTGTAAGCACATCCTTTTACAGGTCATAGAAGGAACCTTCTTGTTCATCAGCTGAACAACAGGTGAATCAAACACCTTATTAAGTCATCAAATGTACTACACTGGCAGTGCAGATAATTAAAATGCATTTTTCATTGCAATCCCTTTCAATCTAGGGGCACAATGGGGCTGCCACCAATTCCTTCAGAAAACACCTGGGCAGTATAACAAATTTCCATATCAGAAAGCATTTCCCAGTAATATACCTATGTTTTCCTTTGCTTAACATCACCCCACCATTTCTATTTGCACTCCCACAGACCACCCAACACAGTTTTGGCACATAATTAGACTTTATGGAAGCAGAGCTTTAGCAAGATGCTGCAAAGAAGGTAAAACTCATTTCAAATACCACTGTTTGGTACAGCCTTGAAAACAATAAATCAGTATCAGCTCAGAGGTTTTTCATCCCCATGTGGGATGCAAAATTATGACAGAGCTCAGCTCTAAAAATCAGTGGGTGACTGCTGGTGATCAGCATCATGTTCTAGGCAGGTCTCCTTAAAAATAATAAAAATAATTTAATTATTAATATAAGCATGCATATATTTCTAAAAAATAAGGCAAGGGATATTATTGATTTTCTAAGACTACAAAATTTACTCTCAGACACCATATACCAATTTCATGAAAAGATTTTGCAATTTTACTTACATGGAGACTGATAAGCATTTTATAGCTCAAAGTGTAACAATGCATTTCAGAAGGTTTTGCTTTTTTTTTTACTGAAAACTGTTAATAATTAAACTGAAAATAGATAAGCACTGAGTTTAAGTCATGTTTAAGCTGCAGAGTAGTTTCTCTAGGCTTCCCTGAATTTACTGTTATTATATTTTATTATTATAGTTTATTATTGTTGTATTTTATTTTTACTACTGTTGTTGTAGTTATTATTATTTATAATTTAGCTGAATATCAGCCCTCTGGATGTACAGAGCCCAGGAAGATTAATTTCCTAATGTGATGCTGAAAGAGAGAGATCACAAATACTTCCACAGAGAATTTGCAAAACGTTTAGAACATATTCTATTACACACCTGAAAGCTATTTCTAATACCTAATTCTACTATTAAATTCTACATAATGCTTTGGCAATTTTATTTGTAGGCATTAGTTTAGGACAGAAAGAGGGAAAAATAAAGGTGCATTTTCACCCAAGAAATCCTGTCTTAGCTAAAAACATTCTTTCAACACCCAAAGTTTAAAGCATACATAAGCATCAAGGTTCTTTGTATTTTCAGTTCCTTTGGCCAGATTATTATTTTCCCAAATTGACATAAAGTTGTTTTTATACAAGTTAAATTTCTCATAAGCCTTAATTGATGGAAACATGTATTAGGTGACAATCACAAGGATGTTTTCACTTAATAAAAATACAGTATGCATTTAATCTGGCCTGTATTTAGAACACGTGTGACACAGAGCAGAAACAAAATAAGGATCCTTAACCTTACTGCTCTCAATTTCTAAGTATAGTTTGGTCCTAAACTTGCAAAATCTTTGTGAACAATCAAACAGCTCACAAGATTTAGGCTCAGTATGGCCTTGGGTAAATTCACAGAAATACTTAGAATGCAGACTGGTAGACTTACATGCCCTAAATTTTGGCTCCTCAAGAGCCAAACTCAGCTGAAATTTCCTATACTGCACAAAGACAAAGACATGTAAAACAATTAAAAAAAAATAAAATTACAAACTGGGATATTCACCTTAAAAGTTAGGTTCTTCTTCAGAAAAGCTTTAAAACAGCAAAGCACAGCCTGAAATATCCAGAAGTGTCTACAGATAGAGATTATACTGGTTTCTTTCTTTTCTAAGAGGGTCTTTCCCTTTCCAACCAAGCAAGCAGCATGGAACCACTTTCCCATTTGCAATTTATTGCAACAATTTCAGCCTTAGCTTACCAAATACCTAAAGTAGTTAAACAGTTAATTTTAAACCTATATTTTAGCATTTGAAAGCTTGCCTGAATTTTATTTTTTTTTTTCTAATTTAGGTGAGTAGTACAGAGACAGGATGAAGAAACAGGGAAAACAAAAGTGCACAGGAGGCTAAAATTTGAAAAGGGCAGCATCCATCCCAAACCACCCACTTTGTTTCTAGCTTGGCCCATGCAAGAGCACAGAACACTCACTCAGTCTGGAGTGGGTATCACACATCTGATTTTAAAGGCTATAATAAAATACAAAAATGTATTTCATTCTCCTTGTCTAACAGTTAAATTTAAACATTCATCTACTTACAGAGCCGTCTTTCAGGTTCCTCTCATAGGAGAAGTGACAGACCTTATTCTGCTCATCTCTTGAGATCACAAAGTTGTATTTGCCAGCTGACTCTTCTCCAGCTATCAGTGCTTTCCTCAGCTCTCCCACATATTTCTCTCTGTCCATTTCTATGTCAGCAGCCTCTGTAGAAATGTCTGATTCAGACACTACCAGAAAAAGACATATGAGAAATAAATATTCATATGTGTGGGAACAAGTATATGCACTATATATTACATACAAATCATCTATTAAGATACATTTATATATATAAAATACTATATTTATATATCTTTATATATAAATAGTGCACATAGTATATATATATTTACTATATATATATATACCTAAAGTATACATACATACATACATATACATATATATATTTAAGGTCGCTTCCAACCCAAGGCATTCTGTAATTCTGTGATTCAATGAAATATTAGGAGATTAGTCTTCCCTTGAACACACATTGGTGTGTTGTTTCCACTTGTGGAAATGTAGCATAAATATTGTGTTTTTCAGAAGTTCTGTCCCCTTTTTTTCCCTGTCTGAAAATGGGTTATTTCCTTATTGCTAGTGATCCACAATTCTAGTTGCCTAAAGTCACCCAAAACAGAACAGAGTGAAATGTGGAATCCCTTGCAGCATGAGGCAAAGAGGGGTAGAAAAAGGTAATTTTGAAACACTTACAAAGGAAGTGCTTGCCTGGAACAGTGATTTCAATACAGAGAAGATAAACTTTTAGTAACAGTAAGAAAGTCATAAAAAGAAAGACACTAAAATACTGCAATAGAGCACTGTGGGTTTGTTGGTTTGGGGTTTTTTTCCCTGTATATGCTGCATGTTCCTTTATGATTTAAAACCAGCAGAACTGATCAATCATTAGGGAAATATGATATGCATAAATCCTCATAGATGTAGTTCTTTAACCCAATACCAAGGTAAGACATTAGATTACATTGCATATTTGTGTGCTTCTCTTCCCCTCCAACATTCAGTTTTCCCTCTCTCTTTAACAGGACTCCTAACACATTTCATCATCACATTAAACATACTAAACCCATAAAAGACAACTCCATCAGCAACTCTCTCTCTCTGCCTGGTAGGTCTTGCCAAAGAAAATAATCCAGGCATGAGAAACCCAAAAGGGATTTCCCACAGCAAGAATATTCTGACCATTGCTTTCCCTCCCTCCAGGTTTTGAATTTAAAATGGAAGCAGTCTCAAGATGATGTAATAACTTTAGAAAGTGACCAAAATCAATGTTTTGTTGAATGAAAACACAGTGCAGTAGGAAAGCCTCATTTGCAAGAACATCAATCCCCAATAAAATTATTCAAGGGATTAGAAAATCTGTAAGAATTTCTTAGAAAGGGATCAGATTCTTCCTCAGATTCTTCAGAAGAACAAAAAAATTTCCTCTGGATGAGAACCTAATGCTCACAGCAGAATTGTTGTGTTTCTTTCTTTCCTTTTTAATGGAGTGAGGTCATCCTGCTTTCACTGCCCCTCTATTTTGGGAAATCATTATCCCACATTCTACCAGATGCAGGAATTCAACAAAATGAGAACTTTGTCTACCTCTTTTTTTATTTTACCCTCCTAGCTATAATAGCACAGCCTTCACTTGGAAAAATAAGAATCATCTTTTTGAGAATTCTAAAGTGGGGATCTTGAAGTCACCTCAGAATAAGAAGATTCTTCAAACAGAAAAAACAGTATTTGCCAGTGTTTACACTCTTTTTGTTGTTTCCAAAATAACGTCACTATTTTCAAGCCAAGAAAGAAAAACATTTCACTACCAGAAATCAGGATTGGAACACATGCATTTGCTTTGTGCAGGGACCTCTGATCAATGGAGTGTTTGAAATGTTTAAAGGAATATGGAAGAGCATATTTCACTTATGTGTTGATTTTAATTGACATTTATCTAATCTCAGACCTATATGAAAGCTTGGCTTGTGCAGGAATTGAGGAAGAACAACATCCACTGGGTAAGAAGAAAGAAGGAAAAAAGGAACTACATAGATATTTCTTATTATTCAGACAGTCCAGAAAATGGTTTTGCCTACAACTTGCTGAAAATACATAATTTTCTCCTCCCTTCAAAATATTTTTGCTACTGAGAAAAGGGCTTTTGAGAAAGTATTTGACATTTCTCAAGAACAATCTAACCTTTTTTCACTGGTTATGAATAAGAGAATCAGCCACATACGCAAGGATCCATCTTCTTACTGAGGTTTCAGAGAGTGCAAAAAAATCCCACAGGCTAAGTTTTCCTACTGATTGTCCTATTGTCCCTTTTCCTTCCCAAAAATTCACGTCATTACGAAATATAGCTACCTTTGGCTATTTAAATGTGACAAAAATATTTTTAAATCATCTGCAAATAACAGCTTTATGGACTCCAATTTGCAAATGGAACTTGGGTACACATTTGTTTGAGAATCTGGAGAAGATGAAGAAGTGTTACTTCAGCATCACTCCAAGAAATTATACATTCTTGAGAAAGAACAAAACATTGCATACCCATGTGCTGAATGAATTAGTTTTCACTTTGACACACAATCTCCAGATTTCAAAGTTTTCTGGCCACATCCCAGAAGATCATGAACCCCTCCTCCTCCTTTTTGGGGACAAAACACCCATGGAATTTCCACACAGGTTGTGGCACACAGCTTAGAAGGTGTTTTAAAAGGAGCAATTAAGAGCAGTAATAATTTAAATTAATGTATTTTTCTTTCCATTACCTGTCCCAGTCCAGACACACTGACAGTCACTAAGAAGTAAACCAAAGCCAGTGCCTAAATCCTTTTCCCATGACACCTGCAGAAAATAGGTTGCTTCTGGATCAGAAACTGGATGAATTCTGTTCAAAGTCTTCTCCATCTTCCCAACACCTGTTTAAAAAGCAAGATAATCTTGTTGTAAACACTGGGGTGGTTAAGAGCTTTACACAACTAGCTTGGGCCTTGTTATGTGTGGGGAATATAGAAATACAAGTATGCTTGCAATTTTATTCTACTTTCCTCCCCAAATTCAGTTTGTCAGAGGACTGGTGATACTTGCAAACAGGAAACTGGATTATAATAAATAAGGTTTCAGTGCCAACAATTAAACATATTTGAATAGTCTCAAATTAAGAAGGTGCCAGAAAGCTGGGGGACAGGAAATTACTACAGTCAAGCTTTTCCCCATGGCTCTGTTTTTAGCTCACTGTCTGCTATCACCCAAAGTACAGAATATTTAACATAATTCAAAATAATCAACATTCATCTGGAAGACTGCCACGTGAAAGCTGCTACTAATCTTCACAGCAAAGCAGAGGGTGTAGCAAATGCCAGCAGCCCAAAGGAAGTATCTTAAGCACTGGATTCTGCAGCGAACAAAATATATGATGTTACAGTGAATATATTTTCCTCTATGGCAAAGCAGCTTGGCAACCTGTGATTGACCTAAGATCTTCTCAAGAATCCCACGTATTTCTACACAAGTTAACTGACTGAGAAAAGGCTACATGCTCACTCACAGGCTTAAAAAAAGAATGTAAAAGGAAAAACCCAGATGAGGCATTCAAATTTAAACTACATGCACTGAGTACAATGGTGCTTGGGCAGGGATTAAATGCTCTGTGGAGGTTTCCACCTAAAGTGCAGCAGTAAATAATCATGACCAGGATCAGTTCAGGCCCTGAAGGGACTCTGCTCTCCAAGCAGGAGTAGAAGGAAGCTTTTTCTTTGCTCCTGGACACTGAGAAATGAATCTAGATACAGATTTAACTACCTTGGCTTCCCAAAAAATTGGAATTTTCAGGTTAGGAGGAGCAGCTTTAACTGCAATTGACTGAACTGTTCCTGACCCTCGCTCAATTCTGCACCCAACAACATTTCAAAATGCCTTTCTCTTGCCCAGACAAGTGCATAGTATTCAAAAGCAGCAAAATATATAAATTTAAGTATTGGTTTTCACACATAAAGCTTTATTATTTGCATCTCTAAACCACCACCGCGTCTACTACTACAAATGTCATATTCCAACTTTCTATTCTCTGAAAATGCAGCAGAAATGAAAAAGTTACCAAAACATAAATTGGGAAGTTAATCTGAGTTAAAAAAAAAAAAAAAAAAAAAAATTATCTAGTTCCATCGCTAACCAGCTGGCTATTTCAGAAAATCTACAGTGTGTCCCTGAACCTGTAAACAAGAACAGAAAAATTAAATAGTTGGGGGTGGACAGGTGGAACAATGCCTTTGCAATTGGTGACTCCAGAAATAAAGGTATTTTAAAGATTTGTGGGGCACTAACTGCCTGGCCATGGGTCAGTAATGAGCACGGGGCAGGAAACACAAGCAATGCAGGCTCAAGAACACACACATGCACTCTCCTTTTCCTGCCAGATTCCCTTTTTGCTTCTTGTTAATTATGGAAAAATACAGCCTCTTGTAAGATATTTCCATAGAAGTCCTCCTCTAAAAACCAATGTTTTTAGAAAGATTTCAATTAAAATCTGTAAAACAGTAGCAGACAACACTGACAGCACACAGGGTACTAATGTAAATATGTGTAGTTCAACAGGAAGGTTTTGCTTGTTTTATGTGATTTTTATCACAAAGCAGAGCAGCATTCAGTGAAAAACACCTGCACTAGAGGCTTTCTTATCAACCCAGACTGTTTATAACAAAAAATAAAGCAAGAGAATTCGATTTTCTATTTGTATAACGATAAAGCACACTAAGTGTCAGTCAGTCCTCAGTCAGAAAAAGTGAGGTCAAGAGTAGCAGAGGAATGAAGCCTGTTTATTTATTTAAAGATGCACTAACAAGGTCTCTGAGGCTTAAGACTAAATTCACTTGATACAGTCATACTGGTTTCCCATGCACACATCAGTATTTCATTACAGTGATGTAGCACAGCTAAAAATGAAAGTTTTGTTTAGACAATGCTATTGGTACCCCTGTGGTAAAACACAAATTCAATAGAATGAGGAGACACAACCAAGAATAATACCCTAAAGTTCAAAGCAAATGCAAAATATGGTTTTCCTGCTTTTCCAAATTTTATTGTGCAGCTCTGAAAAAAAAAAGCATTTTCCAAAGAGGCATAAAATGAAGATACTTTTTTCTCCCAGCTTTCATCTCCCCCACAGTGCTCACTGGCCTTTTGAAAGGAGTATATTACTTATTACTCCACATTTAGGATCTGCCTCTGTAAGCAGAGCTCAGACAGACTCCATCTCCAAGCACTCAACCCTTCCAACCCATCAGCAAAAGCTCAAGGACTCCTGCCTGTATACAATGCCTATTATATACTTCTCTTCAAGAGGAGGGAAAAATCTCCTTCATGAAAATTAGTCTGACCTACACAGCACAAAAAACCATCACTTCAAACAGTAATATGGTACCTTACTGCTTTTTTGAAAGCAAAACAATTACAACAACAAACTAAAAATCCAAATCCCTTTTTCCCTTATCCCTTTTATGTCCTGAGAACACAAAATTGACTGCAGTGTTCAGTAAATGGATAAACCACACACAGTTCAAACATGAATATAGCAAAAAAGACCAAAGGAGTTCCCTACTTATTTAACAACAAGCAGCTTACCACTAAAGAAATTAAAAATACAGACAATGAATAAGGGCATATTCCTTATTCATTCACTATAAGGTGACTGCACACACTCCATTCAGTCTAAAGGCAAATCTTAATAACAGATGTGCAGCACTGTACTTCTAGAAAAGATGTATTGCTCTGTATTTCAAGAGATGAAATAAAACAATCTCCTCAAACTAACCTTTCCCAATGCACCCACCTACTCACTAAATTCATCACCAACCCCACCAGCTTCCAATGTGTCAAGCTTATGTGAGCTTTCACAGATCAAATACTTCTGCCAGGTGAAGACTTCATTATGAAAGAAAGACAAAAATATAAAGGAGAGGTGAAACCTTGAGACTTATTTTCACTTTCACATCTGTGGGTAGAAAGGTAGGAACTGTGTTAATGATCAGAAAGGTTAAAACAGCCCCTTGAATTTTTGGAGTGTCACTATTTAACAGTCCAGCTGTTGGTGAAGCTTGTTAGAGCAAAGTAAAATAAAATAATTGCATAAAAGCAGACTGTATTTTTACTACTATCCAAGTTGCTGGGAGCAGCCTCTCATTATGGCAGCCTAAAAAGCCCCTCGGAGTCCATCAGACCAGAGGAGCACCCTCAAGTTCCATTCAGCATCCAGCCCCTGTGGGCTCTTTCCATTCACCACCTCCACAAAACCAGAGTAGCTGGTTCTTTACTCCTTCCCTGGCTGTGACAAAGCAAACTGCAGAGAAGTTTTGGGGCTGGGGCCACAGAAGGGCAGTGTTCCATCCCTGGGGGACACAGCACCAGCCCCTCTCCACGCCAGGGCCCTGGGGCCAGCCTGCAGGTGGGGACCGCACAGTCCCACCCCAAGTGTGTAAATCAGAGGCTTTATTGAGGCCTTGGAACAGTCGGGGATTGAGCTGTTTATCTTTAGCACTTTGTCCATGGTCTTTGGCTCCTGTGATCGCCATTAGGCAATGTTTCCCTCTGAGGAGGAATCAGCTGTTGGCTGGTGCCTCTGCCCTCGGAACAAACAGCGCACACAGGCCCTTCTGAATGAACAAGACACTCTTAAAATGGGCCACAAAGAATTTTATATGTTGTTTTGGATAGCACCAGGCATAGACCAAAAGCCAAATCTTTCAGGCTGCTCCAACACAGCATCATTGATAATATTCTGAACTTTAGCACTTCATTTTTCCTTTTTTTTTTCCCCATGAAGACTAATGGCTTTTTTTTTTTTTTCCCAAATTGGTTGGGCTGCAGGTGTTGCAAACCTCAGCAGCTATGCTTGGAAGGCTACTTACAGACCAGAAAGAGCTACTATGTCTTTGAAATGGAGCAATTAACCTAAGTGCTTTCTTGCTGAGGAAAAATGGGAGCTATCCACGGGGAGTTCAGAATAGAAGACCACACACTGTTATTGAAGTCTACAGTTTGGCTCCTTCTGACACTGCCCAAACTACAGACCATAACCTAATAATCCAAAGTTAATAGTAAATACATAATCAGAGAAGAGGTACTATTCAGGAGATGCTACATGTACTTATAGGTAGATAATTGGAGATTTAAACCAGTCAAGAGAAGCTCAAGATTGCTTTTAAAGATTAAAACTAGCTATTACCACATTTTCTCACAGAAGGAAATAAGATAATGCCTATATTTATGCATATTTCCAGTGATATATTTCATTCAAATTGATATTCTCATGTTAATTTAAAATTCCATTAACTCCAATACTTCAGGAGTAAGAACATTGAAACACCTGACAAAAACCTCAACTCTTACTCCATTAATCTTAGAACTACTGATCCAATAGGGAGTTCCTCTTTTCTCATTTCTTTTTGGAGGAACATGACTGGGCCAACAAACATGAAGGGAAATAACACGGCATCTTTCCTGTCCTATCTCACAATAATCCTCCCACTCCTCTGGCCACAATACTTGTTTGACATTGAAGAATGATTCAATAATAGCCTTCATGTGGAACTTACAGATAAATCTGAAAGCCAAAGAAGAGAAAAAATTGGAAAGAGCTTTGTTCCTTAATGCAATTTAGGGGGCTAAGACATTTTCTGTATTACATGTACCCAAAGTAATATATTTAGTCACTCTTTTGTTTAATTTTACTCCATATTAAAAGCACATAGGTTACAATTTTGTCAATAATGCAACTTTGTCTCTGAGATAAAAGAAATGAACCAAAAATTAGCACTTGGATATGAAGAACAGACTGAATGACTTTCTAACTTTGTGCAGTGGGGGAAATGGGCCATTTAAGAAACTCAGTGCTCCATGGCAACATTTGATCAGGAGATCATGG